ATAATAAACTTCTCATTAATCACAAATAATGTTTAACAATCGAAGGACTAACTAGTCCCATAGCCAAACAAAAACTGAACACAAGGGAACTCCTTCCCAATCAACATAACAAACATAAACTACTACAAAGCTAGGAAACCAAATCCAGACAATAAAAATCTATCAAGAACATAAAAAAAAAACCTACAACCAACTTCCATAATAATAGCTGAAAGCAGCAACCAATGCTGGAACTTCAAGCTAAACCTGTCAACCCTCATCAAGCAGAAGCAACCCAAGGACAATTCACAACATATATATAGTACCAGTACCTGCCCCACTGAACCATAGGACCTAGAACAAGAACCCTGTACGATTATCTATGATCTCCTAGCAGCTGTGAACTCCCTCCAATCTTTGCAAGCAGAATTCATCACCACCACTTCAGGAAACTTGATTTGTTGAAACTTCCAAAGATTGTGGGTCTTCCACAGCCACCATAATAAATATGTGGTAAGCTGTATCCTATCATCTGAGATTTGCTTCCTATTCAGGGAGCAGATATTACCCCCACCAAGTTCTAAATCTCAAAGATGGATCCTCCATACCTTCCCAGAACAAAGGTGCAGCTCTATGACATTGCAGGAGAATGTGCTCCACTGTTTCCACTCCATCTCCACAACTATGGCAATTAGTGTCAACCGTGACTCCCTTTTTCCTCAAATTACAGCTGGTTGGCAGTGTTATTCACACACTTCCAGAGTGTTTAAGTTTCCCTTTCACTTTCATGTTCCAGCTACTTCTTCTCATCCTCTTCATCCACTCAGTAGCTGAACTACTTTATGCTATATCAAGCTCTTCTAGTTTTTTATGAATAATGCAGTGGTATGTCATACTTATAGAAAAAAGCCCTTTAGGGTGAAGGTTCCAAATCCATCTGTCTTTAAGAGTCTGATTGAGGCTGTCAATCTCCAAAATGGCTTGTGCATTCCCTTCACTGAATTGCTCCTGAATCAACCCTCAGTTCCAAGAGCCTCTTCCCTCTGTCAGCAATTGGTTGACTGTTTCAATCAGACAAGTGACTCCACTTCTCAGCTGAGGTATACCAGAAGGGTGGTTAGGAATCCAATGATCAGTTAAATTTTTTTGTTGAAATCCCATCTCTCATATGAATTCTGAAGTGTTGCTTATGTTTGTCTCTAACTTTCATCCAGTTCATCCACAACCATGAAGCAGTAGGGGTCCTTTTAGCTTGCAGGATTGAGGATTGGTGAAAATACTTCCCTTTCAGGACCTTACTAACAAGAAGATTGGGTTGAGAGAGGATTCTCCAGATTTGTTTAAGAATCAGTTCATCATTGAATGGCATTAGATCCTTAAATCCCTTTCCACCTTTCTCTTTTGGCAAGTCCATACTATTCCAAGCTTTCCAGTGGACTCCAGCAGTTTGATTCAATCCCTTGCCCCACCAGATATTAGCAGTAATCCTAGTGATTTCTTTGCAAATACCAACAGGGATGCAGAAGCAAGACATGGAGAAAATGGGGAGGGCATCAATCACTGCTTTGATTAATACTTCCTTGTCAGCATCAGATAGGAAATTGGCCTTCTAGTTAAGCAATCTTTTCCTCACTGCTTCAACAATATACTCAAACACCTCTAGTTTAGACTTCCCAATCCCCAATGGCAAACCAAGATATCTAGAGGATCTTTGGACTTGGATTCCCTGCAAAATGCCACAAATTCTTCCCTGCATACTAGTCTGACCTGCTAAAAAACACAGAGGATTTGCCAAGATTCACCTTCTGACCAGTGAATCTCTGGTATTTGGCCAATAAGTGCATCAGAATCCTTGCATGTTCACAATCAGCAGTACAAAAAAATAGTGTATCATCAGCAAACATAAGATGGGTCACATGAGGGCCAGATTTACCCATCCTAAGACTTGTAAACAGCCCCCTCTGGGCAATATTTTGAATCAATCTTGATAGCACCTCTGAGACAAGAATAAAGAGATAGGGGGATAGGAGATCCCCTGTCTAATTCCTCTAGAGGCTTCCACAAACCCTCTCATTTCACCATTAAGATTAAAAGAGAAAACTGGAGAGGATACACATGCCATCACACACTTCACAAACCTTGCATGGAAACCCATCTTGGTTAAGATTTGAAAAATACATTTCCACTCAATTTGGTCATAAACCTTTTCCATATCCATTTTAATAGCCATTAATCCCTTTTTTTCAGTTCTGTGTTTATTGAGATAATGGATGGCTTCTTGTGCTATAATTACATTATCTAACAATAGCCTTCCAGGAATAAAGGCACTTTGATTCACACTAATACAATTCTGCAGACAACCTTTAAGTCTCTTTGTCAGGATCTTTAAAATGATTTTGTATGAGACTCCATAAAGGCTTATAGGTCGAAAATTCCCAACAACAATTGGATTAGTACATTTTGGAATCAAAGAAATGACAGTGTGGTTCCAGTTTTTGCTCAAATGGCCAGAAGAGAAAAAATTATAAATTGCAGCACACAAATCCAGTCTGATCACTTCCCAAAAAGTTTGAAAAAATGTAGGTGACATACCTTGCCCTGATGCTTTCCTTGGATCCAGATTAAATAAGGCTTCTTTGATCTCTTCCTCAGAAACAGGAGCCAGCAGTTCCTCATTTATTGAATCAGATATTGTGACATGAATGAGGTTCAGAATATTATCACCATCAAAGGACCCTTCAGAAGTAGAAAGCTGTTTGTAGTATTGGCACACACATCTTTCAATGTCCTCTGGCTCTTCATAAATCTCCCCACCACCTCCCTGATGTCTGCTAGTTGAATTAGTCTGTGTTCTTTGCAAAGTGAGTGCATGAAAGTACTTTGTATAGAATCACCCTCCTTCAGCCACAAGTTCCTGGATTTCTGTTGCCAATAAGCTTCCTCCCTAGCATTCAATCTGTCCAAGGAGATTTTCAGATTCTCCCATTTTGCCCAATCTCTCTCTACTCCTTGTTTACTCAAACCTTTCAATTTTCCAGTGACTCTTCTTTTTTCCTCAACATCCTGAGTTCTAAAGCCTTTGCTCCACTTAAGTAAAGCTAACCTGACCTCCTTAATTTTCTCTGAGACAATGTGCATTGGAGAGCCAGCCTTTGTAATATCCCATGCTTTGGTGATCACATCCTTGACACCATCTCTTTTCAGCTAGTGTTTGTCAAAATAAAACCTCCTTTGTCTTTGATTAACTGAATCAGAAGAGTCAGTTAGCACCAAAATCCTGTGGTCTGATGCACTCAATAAATAGTTTTGGACCACTGCCTGTGTCTTAGACGCACTCCAATCAAAGGAACCGAATACCCTGTCAATTTTAGCCTCAATGAACCCCTCTTGGTTCCTATTATTTGCCCATGTTTATTGGTGGCCCTTCTGTTGAAGTTCCTGCATTTCCATCCTTGCCACAAACTCATTGAAATCTCTGCAATCCTTTACAGTTTTAAGTCTGCCCCCTTTCTTATCCTCTGGTGCTCTGATAGCATTCCAGTCTCCACCCACCAGCCAGTTACTTCCCCATTTGACTTTAGCCTCTTCCAAAATTTACCATTGCTCTTCACTCACACTTTTATCCACACTGATATAGACAAAAATTAGCCACAAAGACTGGCCATCCGGAGGAACAACCACTTCTACTTCAAAG